TATCTTACCAATTTGTGTTATTTTCTGTACGTCATCAATTTGTATTCGTTATTTTTTGTTGTGATGATATTGACGATAGTGTAAATATTCAACAGAAAGGTAAACAAGTATTTAAACAACCGCAAAGGTTAAATTCCACCACACACAAATTAAAATAAATAATTATTTAGAAAGCTTTTTTTTTAAAAATCTTTCTTATTAAAAATTATTTCTAGAATTGAAACATGTTCTATTTGGAAAGGTTAAATTCCATTTATATTTGATATTGATTGTGAGTCTTATATAAACTGAGCTTAACAATGGTGGAGAATTAAAAGGGGGAAGTTATTGAGAAGAGAAAGTTGTTGAGATTGACACTAAGCCAGGTTCACATATCTTAATTATGGGTCCACTGGCATAAAAAAATATTCCACAGGTGATCTGTAGGAAAAAATGACGTTATTTACTACAGTTCATCCTAAAGACGTAGTGACATCCTCTCAACGTTTCTATCACTATATACTTACGAATAGATGATATGTGATCTCTCAGATCTTTAATTTCTTACTGGGTAGACAATTGATCACTCTCGAAAACCAATTAAGTATGAATAAAATATATAAACGATTAAACATCTACTTTGCAGTTTGTAGACAGGTGGAGGAAAATATAATAAAATTGCCAGGGGATTAGTCAGGGAATACCATAGTTTTCGAAAGAGCCACTAATCTTCGAAGGTTCCCTGGGCTTTTGTCTGGTGATATTAATTTATATACATTAAAATACATTTTTTGGGGTTTTTTCTAAATCTTACAATCGCAGTTACGAACATTTTTATACCCTCCACCTTGGAAAGGAGGGTATATTAACTTTGTCATTCCGTTGGTAAAATTCATAAATATTCGTCGTAGACCCCATAAAGTATATATATTCATAATCAGCATACATTTCTAAGTCGATTTACATTATTTGACGTGAGCGTCGACATTTAGCAGAACAATTTGTTATGTGTCTAGGATGGTTGGTATCGGTCCACGTTTTGGTATAGTCCCCATATAACGGTATTTTGATGATTTTTGCCACATTTCTTTGCGGATTTGTCTAAAAATTGGTATTTGTGTGTCCTAATGGGTTCTAGCTTCGTTGCCGAAACACTGTATGTATAGGTTCACGTTTTTGTATAGCCCCACATAGCGGTTTGCCACATTTTTTCACGAATGTGTCTAAAAATTGGTATTTGTAGGTCACAATGGGTTCTAATGTTTCCAATTCCTTATAATTTTATCTAGTTTCGAACATGTATCTTTTCTGCTTTTGCTCTCAAAAACCTTTTTTTATTAAATTTATTCCATTAGAATTTATGTCTGGTCAAAGACTTCATGTAAAACGTTGAAATGTAAAATTTGTGAAACAGTGTTTCGTGTCAATATTGAAATTGTTCAACTTTGAGATTTTGAATTGTTCATTATTTTTATTAAGAAATGTAGTTTCCGATCAAAACGAACCATATATGTATAGTCTTTAGTTTATTAAACAAGTTAAAAATTTATATTTATTGGCATTCGAAAATGGGCATCTCCGTTTTATATTAAATATAACAAAATTAATATGTGTCCTTTAACGATAATTGCATTGGTCTAATTCTAATCAGAATCGTGTGAGAATCATTTTGGTGGGGAAATATAATCAGCTGATGCTTATTGTCAAATAAAATTTAGTGACCGTGGAGTAATGTCATTACAATTGTTCTTCGTTTTTAAAGAAAATAAAAATGAAATGGAACTAAATATATTTTTAATTTTTTCATAATATTGTTTTTACAAAATTTCTATTAATTTTGGCCCTTTCAAATGTTTAAGAAATAAAAGAACAAAATTAAAAAGGGAGATTAGAATAATTCATCTCATGCAATGACAAACTACTATGGGGAAAAGAAGAGAGATAAATAATAATATTAGGTTGCTTCGCCATAAAAAGTCAGTGTAAATTAAAACACGTTGAACACAATTATTTAAAATTTCTTGTCTTTAGAGGAATTCCAAGTTTTTGCTTAAAAGTTTTTTTTTTTTTCACAATGTCGTTATAAACAAACAATCTCCTCAACTAATCCCCAAAATTTTAAATATTTATTTTTTTTTCGCATAGTGCTGTGAATTTTTGTTCTATTTATTATTACATCTCTCTTTGCCATAGTTCAGCAAAGGCTATCTCTATTATATTTTCATATGGTGATAGTAAACAGCGAGTGAGTGCGCGGTGGATGGTTGTACAGCAGGAGACTCTTTATTTGACAAAACAGTGAACATATGATTGTGTTTTCATTTCGTTTCTGCCTCTTCTTCTCTATTTTCTTCGTATTGTTGTTTTAGTTGGATTTTCTTTACTTTTAATTAAATGTCGTAGAAGATTAGTTCAATAATATCGTTTTTTTTTTTTTCTCTATTTTTGTACTTGTGATAAAAGTTAAAAATTTCATTTTGACAGATATACAAACGCCGCACATACACCAAAACACACACACATATGTCCTATCTAATAGAGTGTATGGTGGAGTGCCTTCGATATACTTTTTTGATTTGTTAAAACAAAACCTTTTATCTGATATAATTTTGTCAACAAATTCATCGTAAAAGTATTATGCACATAAAATTGAGCTGCCGACTATTATGTCTGCGTCGCGTGTTTTCTTTTCGTTGTTTCAGTGAAAAAAGGTAATGGTGGGCCTCTCAATGTCCGACAGCCGGCATATAGACAGTTCGATAATGCCTGTTAGGCTGTTAATATATTGGAAGAGAAAGCAACGGTTATTCATAAAATAAGATTGAATGGATAGTTTTTCTTTTGTTCAATTTTAATAAGAGAGTTATGACAGTTGTTTGTAATTGTATATATTGACATTCACAAGAAATCACTGACCACCTGCTAAGGCGAAAATTATTAATTATTATTTTTTGGTGTGTTATTTGTTAAAAAGTGTTTTCGTGAAAAGTGTTGAAAAATCGATAGTATGTGGTAATTGTTGTTGCCTTTTATTGTGAACATTTAAAGACATATGTACATACATAGTTATTACCGTAATGAATTATTAACGCTTCTTCATATTATAAATAATTAATTTTGGTAAATCGTGTTAATTTTTGGGGAACAACGCATATTTTTTGTTGTTCTAGAAAATGTTTCTTGCCTAGAAAAGTCAAATGTTGCAGTGGAAGCTACTTCCTCCTCGAAAACTGGAAAGGAAATATATATTTAAAAATGGACCAAATTAAAAATAATTTTGTGTCATTGTTGTAAAATTTCAAATGAAATAAGTGTTTGTTCCTATATCAAGGAATAATTGAAAACAATTAGTACTACTTAGCAATATTTTTTTCGATATTATAAAGGGAAAAATTGGTTAACTTATAAACCGCAGGTTCTGGAACAGAACAAATGTTTATAGCTCCAATTAACTGAAATTAAATTTAACTTTATTTTAAATTTGACATTTTCGGGCTAAACACGACCTGTGATTGCTGTTTACTTTGGTGTTGACAGGAATTCCAAGTTGCAACTATCCGCGATCAATAATTAAATAAAATTTAATTTTATAAAACGCCAAAACCAAAAAATTGTACATATAACTCTACCAATAATGGGTATAGAACATAATGTTCATAATTTAAAAGGGGAAAGGTACGATGGCATAAAAAAAATGTAGGCACTTATGTCATAAAGCAATATTACCAAATAGTTTTATCCTAAGAGTCCAACCCTCAACTTCAGGTATAGATCCACCATGTTGCATAGCTCCGCATCCTATCCTATACTACTACGTCCTTTCAATTGCCTTCCATTTTTTTAACAAATTCCTGGAGATCTATGGCTATAACTTATGGAAATGCATAACTCAATTTATTTAAGTTGAAGTAGGATACGAAAAAAAAAACTCAGACACAAGGATTGGAAAATTTCTTGTCACTCCTGGAGTAAATATTCCGATATGAGTTGGATCTTCAGCAAAATTTATAACATTTACTTACCTATCCAATATTTTTTTTTGATTTTTCGTTTATTTTATTAATAGCCCTAATTAAAACACATAATAATGCAAAAAAAAAAACACCTCAAACAATCAAAACCCATAAAATGTCAAAAATTTCCATTTCACATACGACAACAGCAGCCAAATTAAATTCCGGTTCTATAGCTAAGTAGAATAGTATGTAAATTATTTAGAAGCTAGGTATATAATTCCAGAGTAATTACTACAAAAAAATGACCTCGAATTCAATACAATACAATGAACTGACGTCTCATACACAACAGAGAATAATAATTGGATTCTAACTGGAAATGAAAACATGATACTTGAATGATATTTTTAATTTAAGAATTAACGGAAGTTTTCCAGATTAAGCCTTGGAATAAAATTCCTTTCGCAATCGTTTTAGGTAGACTTGTTTACATATATTTAATTTGTAAACTTCTAGATTCTAGACCTAAATTGGCGGTCACAGACTTCAAATAATTAAATTTGTTAATTAGAAACCAAAATCATTATTATCAACAAATTAAGTATAGGAATGGATTCAATGCTATTTATTTTTGCAGCATAGTTTTAAAATATTCCTGGAATGTCAAGTAGAAAGAATTTTCACATTTCCACGATGAATGCATTAAAGTTGACTTTAAAAAACATGTAGTTTTCTTAAGGCCAAGAAGTCTTAGATGGACGTTCAAAAATCCTTTATAGTCTACATAAGCGGGGAAAACTAAAAATGGTCGATGATTGAAGTCATCTTAAAATAAATAAGGTATTCTTTAAGAAGACCCATAAAATCCAAAAAAAAAAAATTTAGAGAAGTAAGACTTCAATATAGTGGACATTCCAATGAGGTTCACATGGTTAAATATGTTTTAATATAAACTCAAATATTTTATTTGAAAAATTTGTTCACCTTGGCAAGACTGTACCATTTAATATAAAAAAACACGAACTAATTTCACCTTTTTATCTCTGTATCGTCCTCTTCCTTTAGACCGAGTATGTCTCGCGGCACAGGACTCGGCCAAGATCGCTATCAGGATCGTGATTTTCATATTGCAACTCCCGAAGAATTCGTTAAAAAATTTGGTGGAACTCGTGTCATCAATCGCATTTTGATTGCCAACAATGGCATTGCAGCAGTCAAGTGCATGCGTTCCATTCGGCGTTGGGCCTATGAAATGTTCAAAAATGAACGGGCTATTCGTTTTGTTGTTATGGTCACACCGGAAGATTTAAAGGCAAATGCTGAATATATTAAAATGGCTGATCATTACGTCCCAGTTCCCGGAGGTTCGAACAACAACAATTACGCCAATGTGGAATTGATTGTTGACATTGCTTTACGTACTCAAGTACAGGTGAGTAGTACAAATATTTGCTAATTAATTTAAGTTTGTTTTTTTGAAGAAATCGCATGTTCTTTGTTTACTCAATAAAATAATGAATTGAAAAAAATGTGTTGTTATATTCTTCCTAAATAGGCTGTTTGGGCTGGTTGGGGTCATGCATCGGAAAATCCAAAACTACCTGAATTGTTGCACAAAGAAAATCTTGTCTTTTTGGGTCCACCCGAAAGAGCTATGTGGGCTTTGGGTGATAAGGTTGCCTCCTCCATTGTGGCCCAGACTGCAGACATTCCCACGTTGCCCTGGTCCGGTTCAGAATTGAAAGCCCAATACAGTGGCAAGAAAATCAAAATATCCAGTGAACTGTTTAACCGTGGTTGCGTTAGCAATGTGGAACAAGGTTTAGCGGCAGTCAACAAGATTGGTATGTCTTCAAGAATAAATGACACGGTGGAAGTACTTTGTATGATTATTAAATTTTTCATTTATTTTAGGTTTTCCTGTCATGATCAAGGCTTCCGAAGGTGGTGGTGGCAAAGGTATTCGTCGCGTTGATACTGCCGAGGAATTCCCCGCCCTTTTCCGACAAGTACAAGCTGAGGTTCCGGGATCTCCCATTTTTGTCATGAAATTGGCTCGTGGTGCTCGCCACTTAGAGGTACAGTTATTGGCCGATCAGTATGGCAATGCCATAAGTCTTTTCGGTCGTGATTGCTCCATCCAGAGACGTCATCAGAAAATTATTGAAGAAGCTCCCGCTATTGTTGCCCATCCAGAGATTTTCGAAGATATGGAAAAGGCTGCTGTTCGTTTGGCGAAAATGGTGGGCTACGTAAGTGCCGGTACCGTCGAATATTTGTACGATGCAGAGGGAAAATATTTCTTCTTGGAATTAAATCCTCGTCTGCAAGTAGAGCATCCATGTACTGAAATGGTGGCCGACGTAAATCTTCCCGCCTGTCAATTGCAAATTGGAATGGGTATACCTTTGTATCGCTTGAAAGACATTCGTTTACTCTATGGAGAATCTCCCTGGGGTACGTCGGTCATTGATTTCGAGAATCCTCCAAACAAGCCACGTCCTTCGGGCCACGTCATTGCCGCCCGTATTACATCTGAAAATCCTGACGAAGGATTTAAGCCCAGTTCGGGTACAGTACAGGAATTGAATTTCCGTTCCAGTAAAAATGTTTGGGGTTACTTTAGTGTTGCCGCTTCAGGTGGTCTTCATGAATTTGCCGATTCTCAATTCGGTCATTGTTTCTCATGGGGCGAAAATCGCCAACAGGCTCGGGAGAATTTGGTCATCGCTCTTAAGGAGCTTTCCATTCGTGGTGATTTCCGAACCACTGTAGAGTACCTGATTACGTTGTTGGAAACCAATAGCTTTTTGGACAACACCATCGATACCGCCTGGTTGGATGCTTTGATTGCTGAGCGGGTGCAGTCAGAAAAACCTGACATTTTGTTGGGTGTTATGTGTGGAGCTCTTCATATTGCTGATAGACAAATTACAGAGGCTTTCAACAGTTTCCAAACATCCTTGGAAAAGGGTCAAATTCAGGCTGCCAACACTTTGACGAATGTCATTGATGTGGAACTCATCAATGGCGGTATACGTTACAAGGTTCAGGCTGCCAAGAGTGGTGCCAATACTTACTTCTTGTTGATGAACAATTCCTTTAAGGAATTGGAAGTTCATCGCCTGTCTGATGGTGGTATGTTGCTGTCATTTGATGGTGCTTCCTTTACCACATACATGAAAGAGGAGGTGGACCGTTATCGCATTGTCATCGGTAATCAAACCTGTGTATTCGAAAAGGAAAACGATCCCTCGTTATTGCGCAGTCCTTCAGCTGGTAAACTAGTTAATCTACTAGTCGAAGATGGTGCCCACGTTAATAAGGGCCAAGCATATGCGGAAATTGAAGTAATGAAAATGGTTATGACCTTAACTTCTCAAGAAGCTGGTACTGTCTCGTTTGTGAGGAGACCTGGTGCTGTTTTAGATGCTGGTTCTCTATTGGGACATTTGGAGCTGGATGATCCATCTTTGGTTACCAAAGCGCAGCCATATAAGGGACAATTCCCACAACCTGAAAATCCTCCAGTGCCAGAGAAACTAAACCGTGTCCATAATACATATAAAACCATTTTGGAAAATACTTTAGCCGGTTTTTGTTTACCAGAACCCTACAATGCCCAACGTTTGCGTGATGTCATTGAGAAGTTTATGCAAAGCTTAAGAGATCCCTCTTTGCCGTTGTTGGAGCTGCAAGAAGTCATTGCTTCCATATCGGGAAGAATACCCATTTCGGTGGAGAAAAAGATACGCAAACTCATGACTTTGTATGAAAGAAACATTACCAGTGTGTTGGCCCAGTTTCCCTCCCAACAGATTGCCAGTGTTATTGACTTCCATGCTGCCACTCTGCAAAAGAGAGCCGATCGTGATCACTTCTTCCTTACAACTCAGGGCATTGTTCAATTGGTGCAACGCTATCGTAACGGCATACGTGGACGCATGAAGGCAGCTGTCCATGAACTGCTACGTCAATACTACGATGTAGAGTGTCAATTCCAACATGGACACTATGACAAATGTGTGGGTTTGGTTAGGGAACGTAATAAAGACGATATGCAAACTGTGGTTAATACAATTTTCTCACATTCCCAAGTGGCCAAGAAGAATCTACTCGTCACCTTGCTAATCGATCATTTGTGGGCCAATGAACCTGGTCTAACTGATGAGTTGGCTCATACACTTAACGAATTGACCTCATTGAATCGAGCCGAACATTCTCGTGTAGCTTTACGAGCCCGCCAAGTCCTTATTGCAGCCCATCAACCTGCCTATGAACTTAGACACAATCAAATGGAGTCTATATTCCTTTCAGCTGTCGATATGTATGGTCATGATTTCCATCCGGAAAATCTACAACGTTTGATCCTCTCGGAAACTTCTATCTTTGATATTCTGCATGACTTTTTCTATCACTCCAATCGCGCGGTATGCAATGCTGCCCTGGAAGTGTATGTAAGAAGAGCCTATACATCGTATGAGTTGACTTGTTTACAACATTTGGAATTGTCCGGTGGTTTGCCATTGGTGCATTTCCAATTCCTATTACCCACTGCCCATCCAAATCGCCTTTATTCACGCATGTCCCACGATGGTGTTGAAGGTGGCCCCGAGAATGTTAGTAATACGTTCTTGCGTACCGGCTGCATGTCTGCATTCGATTCCTTTGAACATTTCGAAATGTATTCTGACGAAATATTGGACTTGCTTGAGGATTTGGCATCACCAGCATTTGTGAGTGCAAAGGTAAGGAGGTATATGGGGATTGGAGTGAAGGAATTTAACTTTAACTGATTATTTTCCATTAGGTTTTGGAGGCTGTTGATGCTGTGGATTCCATGTCTGATGGCCGTTTGAGTACCTCAATTAATGTATCACTTTCTGATCCAATTACAAGAGCCAATGCGGCCGAAGAAGCCAAATCTACCGAACCCATACATATCATCAGTGTGGCCGTTCGCGAAACCGGAGATATGGATGATGTTCAAATGGCCCAGATTTTCGGCAACTATTGTAAAACACACCGCGAAGAATTATTGCAAAGGCGCATTCGTCGAATCACCTTTGCAGCATTGAAGAAGTAAGTCGATGTTGTTGCAATAAATTGAATGTAAACGTAAACTGTATGTACTTTTTGGAATAGGCGTCAATTCCCCAAGTTCTTCACGTATCGTGCCCGTGATAATTTCGAAGAAGATCGCATATACCGCCATTTGGAGCCGGCCTGTGCCTTCCAACTGGAATTGAATCGTATGAGAACATATGATCTCGAAGCCTTGCCAACTGCCAATCAAAAAATGCATTTATATTTGGGCCGAGCAAAGGTATCACAGGGTCAAGAAGTGACCGATTATCGTTTCTTTATCCGTTCGATTATTCGCCATTCCGATTTGATAACCAAAGAGGCTTCATTTGAGTACCTACAAAATGAAGGTGAACGGGTTCTACTTGAAGCCATGGATGAACTAGAAGTTGCATTCTCACATCCTCATGCCAAGCGTACGGATTGTAATCACATATTCTTGAACTTTGTTCCCACGGTCATCATGGATCCTGCCAAAATTGAAGAGTCCGTGACAAAAATGATTATGCGTTATGGTCCCAGATTGTGGAAATTGCGTGTATTGCAGGCTGAGTTGAAAATGTTGATTCGTCAATCGCCCCAGGCATCGACACAAGCTATTCGCTTGTGCATTGCCAATGATTCTGGGTATTTCTTGGATATATCCATGTATACCGAACAGACTGATCCTCTCACGGGCATTATTAAGTTCAAGGCATATGGTGATAAATTAGGTTCCTTACACGGACTGCCAATTTCCACGCCCTATATGACTAAAGATTTCCTCCAGCAAAAACGCTTCCAAGCTCAAAGTAATGGCACAACCTATGTTTATGACATTCCCGATATGTTCCGTCAAATGACTGAACGTCATTGGAAGGAGTTTTCAAAAGCAAGACCAACAGTCGATGTTCGTATACCCGAAAAGATTCTTATTGAGTGTGTAGAGTTGGTTTTGGAAGGAGATAATTTGGTGGAAATGAAACGTTTGCCGGGAGAGAATACTGTAAGTTTTATTCAATGTTTCTAATCAAGGCTAGACACTTATTATAATTTTTATACACAGTGCGGTATGGTGGCCTGGCGTATAATCTTGGCCACACCTGAATATCCCGAGGGTCGTGAAATGATTGTCATTGCCAACGATTTAACCTATTTCATTGGTTCATTTGGCATACAAGAAGATATTGTCTTCCACAAGGCTTCACAATTGGCTCGTGAAAGAAAAGTTCCGAGGGTAAGTGAAGTGACGGGCTTTATAAATCTATAGCTGGATCTGTATCTATATAAAATTGTTCCTTGTTGTCTTCCTTCCTTAGATTTACATTTCTGTGAACAGTGGTGCTCGTATTGGTTTGGCTGAAGAAGTTAAGTCAATGTTCCGTGTAGCTTGGGAAGATCCCGAAGAACCTGAAAAGGGCTTCAAGTATTTATACTTGACCACCGAAGACTATAGTAAAGTGGCACATTTAAATTCGGTGCGTGCCATCCTCATCGAAGATGAAGGAGAGCCTAGATACAAAATTACCGATATCATAGGCAAAGATGATGGTTTGGGTGTCGAAAATCTACGTTATGCCGGTTTAATTGCCGGTGAGACCTCACAGGCATACGATGAAATTGTAACAATATCCATGGTAACATGTCGCACCATTGGCATTGGTTCATATTTGGTGCGTCTGGGACAACGTGTCATACAAATCGATAATTCCCACATCATTTTAACTGGTTATGCTGCTCTGAACAAATTGCTGGGTCGTAAGGTTTATGCATCCAACAATCAATTGGGTGGCGTTCAGATTATGTACAACAATGGTGTTTCGCATAAAACGGAAGCTTTGGATTTGGATGGTGTCTACACTATATTGGATTGGTTGTCTTACATGCCAGCTTATACCGGTGGTGATTTGCCAATTGTCACACCCAATGATAGAATAAATAGAGCGGTTGATTTTATGCCCACAAAATCTCCCTACGATCCACGTTGGATGTTGGCTGGTAGAGTTAATCCTGGTGAGTGAGAAGAAAAAATTGTTTTTGTAAATGTGTGGAATATTATTAAACTCGGGTTTTCAACAGCTAATGCTAGTGAATGGGAAAATGGTTTCTTTGATCGAGATTCCTGGAGCGAAATTATGGCTCCCTGGGCCAAAACTGTGGTCACTGGTCGCGCTCGTTTGGGTGGCATACCTGTGGGTGTTATTGCTGTTGAGACACGCACTGTTGAAGTTGAGATGCCAGCCGATCCTGCCAATTTGGATTCTGAAGCTAAGGTTAGAATTGTAATTTTTATAAAGGTGTGTGAAAGTACAACGTTTTACCTTTTCAGACATTACAACAAGCTGGCCAGGTTTGGTATCCAGACTCATCCTACAAAACTGCCCAGGCAATTAAAGATTTTGACCGTGAAGAATTACCCTTGATCATCTTTGCCAATTGGCGTGGTTTCTCCGGTGGCATGAAGGATATGTATGAACAAATTGTGAAATTTGGCGCTTATATTGTCGATGGTTTGCGTGAATACAAAAAACCTGTTCTCATCTATTTGCCACCCAATGCTGAGTTGCGTGGTGGTGCATGGGCCGTGCTAGATTCATTGATAAATCCCCGTTATATGGAATCATATGCCGATCCAGAGGCTAGGGCTGGTGTCCTTGAACCGGAGGGCATTGTAGAAATCAAGTACAAAGAAAAGGATCTAGTCAAAACGATACATCGTTTGGATCCCACAACCATTGGGGTAAGTTACGAATAGTAAAATTTTTCGAAATGGAAATGGGTTTCAACTCTTCTCTTTATCAGTTGAAAAAACAAATGGATGAAGCTTTGGCAGCTGGTGATAAGGTTAAGGCCAGTCAAATTAATGAGAAAATAAAGGAACGCATCGAGGCGATGATACACGTTTATCATACTGTGGCCGTACACTTTGCCGATTTACATGACACGCCCGAACGTATGTTGGAGAAGGGTTGCATCAATGAAATTGTACCATGGCGCGAATCACGCACATGGCTGTTCTGGCGCTTAAGACGTCTTTTGCTTGAAGATGCCTTCATAAAGAAAATTATCCATGCTCAGGAAGGTTTGAGTGTGGGTCAGGCCAAGCAAATGTTGAGACGTTGGTTGGTCGAAGACAAGGGAACAACAGAGGTATGTTAACATGGACATAGTTTTCAATATGACATCTTTATTTATTTAACTTTAATTTCAGTCTTACATTTGGGATAAGAACGAAGAAATGGTGCAATGGTATTTGGAACAATTGAAACCCGATTCCATTGTATCGGGCAATATAAATGCAGTGCGCAAAGATGCCATAATTTCTGCCATCACCAAAATGCTTGAGGTAAACAAAGTTTTTATTACTTAAAAGAAACAAATATTAATGCTAAAATTTAATTTTTTAATTATTAGGATTGTCCTGATGTTACATTAGATGCTGTAGTGGGCCTGTGTCAAAATTTATCACCAGTTAATCGTGGTGTGGTTGTACGAACTTTAGCCCAATTACAATTAAACGAACAACAACCTAGCGGAAATCAAGGATGATATAGTTCAACGAACAATTCGACAAATATGCCACCTCAGAATTTTTTCTACCAGTTCAACAAATATTAAGCTAATGACCATAGATTTTCTCTAAACCACCTCACATACACATCCCAGTTCACAATATGTTCTTTTAATGAATAGCAAAAATAAGGGCAACGATTTGAACACCATGTCATAAGCGAACTAATTTCAAGCGCTCTACTCATCCATCCATTTACCCCACCCACACTCATATTATTGACTATTATGTATAGATAATATTGTGTTAATATTCTTTAAGATTAGAACATTATTGTGAAGTTACAATATGCTCTTATTTTGTTAATACTTTTTTCGAATAATTAAGACATTTTTTGTAATGCTGCATTTGTTATTTTTTCCTCTTACATGTGAATTTGAATTTAAAAAATAGCTAAAATGCTCTAAAAACAAACGATGGGGACAAAACTTCAGAAAGACCATGGTTGCTTCAAAGGCTCCATAGTCGGTGATGGTTTAAAACCTATAACCTAACTAGCTCTAGCTAACGACGCACATTGTCTTGATTAATCTTTTTATTGTCAATTCACATAATTTAGTTAAATTTAGATATACGCATGTTGATGTCTCTACATCATTATATAATTTTCTCATTTCATTTAAACTTATTAACGATTTTTTATTGTAGTAATATGAAAACGTTTATAAGTATGAAATACTTTCCATTAGTTTATATATGTATTTAAAAAGCCAAGAAATTCATATGTTATTACTTTTAACTTTTATTTTAGATAAGCTGTAAAGAAATACGAAATAAATAAGACATTTTTCAGGTAAAACGAATGATAATTATGAAGAATATATGGAAATTGTATAAAAGAAAATAAATCATGAAGAAATTTAAATATTTTGTGTGATTTGTGTTAAGTAGTTCTCTCCTTGTTGAATACTGAGATTTTTAAATTATTTTATTATAGTATATTTAACACGAGAAAGGTTTTTATTTCAATTGAAGAAAGAATACGATTTTGGAGCGACATATGCGGTACAGTATTATATGTGACATAGTGTGTGTGTGTTTGATGTCGAAATCCATTCGAATTAATGTTGATGTCCTCACAAAAAGGTGTCCTGGTATTACTCCTCCTTTTTGGAGTTATTTTAATATTTTTCCTAATATACCATTATCACACCATGACAAAATTTAATAACGTAATATCATGTTTTGTACTGTTTTTTTTTTTTTTTTTTTTTAAGTGGGGCAAATAAATTACCTGTATACAATTGCTCTGATCTAGAACTGCAAGAATATACAACTTTTCAGTATGATAACCAATTTTTCATTTATGATATATAAGAAAAATGCTGAGCATGTTGTGTTAGGGGCTATGCTCGGATCATATTCACTTTTTTATAACTGATAAAATTTGTAGATTTTTTAAGTAGCCGGGCTTCGACCGGGGCTTAACATTTTTTCCTCTGGGGTATGTCCCCAACACGGGCTGCGCGATCCATAGTTTTTCTAAACTTTATAACGGACTTCGATATCTTGGGAGCTATACAAATTTCAGGTCAATCGGTCATAGCCCCTAAACTCAACGTAAGCCCCAAATAGTTTTCTTTTTTTCTGATTCAGTTGATTGCTTACAAGATTTTGCAGGAATTCCATATTTACTGTTCAAAAAGATAATAAAAATATCTCACTTTCTCAGATAGAAGCTACTGAGCAATTCCCAGAGGATAAGTAGCCAGACAAACCTATTTTTACAGCCTTTTGGGTTCGGGATGAAAATAGAATTTTAAATATCTATCGGTAATCAAAAACTTAGTTAAATAGTCCCACAACATTTTTTTTAGTTTATTTGTGACAATAGATATCAGAAGAATTCGTTTCAAATATACAAAATCATGGCAGTGTATATATTGTCTATCTTAAAACGTGATCTGTCCAAAGTATTCATACGTACAGTAGCTCCATGCGAAACTCGTACAGCTAAAGAGAAAATTTTATTTTTTTATAACTTCCAAAAATCAAAATTTACAAATTTTTTTTTACATTTTATTAGTACACTTTGTAAGTAATTTAAAATGCAAAAAAAAAAATAACATTTTAATTCATTAAAAGTAAAAAATAAATAAATATTAAAAGAGATCATATTTCAATGCCAAAGCCAAAGTGTTTCTAGACATTAATATTTTGTATGAGTTCCTTTACTTTTTTTTACCATTTGTAGCCTATTTAACATACTTTTTACAAGTTTTTCGCAAAAGCTAGTTTCAATTTTTGCCATTCTTTCAACAAAGCTTTCTTCTAATCTTCTTTGCAAGTTATGGTATGCTGGCGGTTTTTTCCATCGAGATAGCTCCATAAATTCTCTATGAGGTTTGTGTCTGAACTGGGCTGGTGTATCCACGACGTGGGGACAATTTATACCAAAATTTGTCAAAATCGGTCCAGCCTTTCTTGAGATATAAGCATTCTAGCTAATATCCCCTTCCTTTGTATATATACATTGTATATATTTCGCTTTATATATCCGATATATTTACTATCGGCATCTACGTAATGGTCAGAATTGACCTGTTCGTCTATTTGTGATTTCGCCGGGATTAAAAACATTCGCGGTTTAATGGAAAATTTGACTTTTATTTATCACAAATGTTGCGGACTATTTCACCCACTAAATATTATCCGATGACGATCAAAATTGGAAGGCTTCTCCCCAGCCCTAAGCTCTAGCCCCATGCTAATTTCCGCGTAATTGGTCCATAATTGTGACCTGTAGAGCAACTGCAAAAACAGGAATTTTTCAGTTTTTGGTCCATTTTAACCCCTAAATATTATGCGATCATCTCGAAAAGAAATAGGGTTCTATTCTGGCCTTAACCCCACCTACATTTTAAATTTCGTGAGGATCGGGCCATAATTGCGACCTGTAGAGTGATTACAAATTAACATGGACAGACGGACGGACGGACATACATAGCTAGATCGACTCAGCTCGGCGAGATAGGAAGATCCATATATAGGTTACTATGTGGGAAACCTATATTTCGAGGTTTTACATAATTTTTGGCACAATCAAACTTATAATACCCCCAACACAAAGCGTTGTAGGTTTTTTGGTAATGAATTTGATAACAATCATATATTGCATGAAAGAAATTATTTGCTAAGTGTACGAGTTTCGCTTGGAGCTACTGTATGTATTAAATTGTAGCCTCGATTGTCATACACGGAAATAGTTAAATGGAATTTGAATTTTACGCCGATCTAGAATGTATAAAATGTATGGTCACCGGCTGACTTTTTGTAAAAGAACAACGGAATTAGGTAAACATAGCTTAAATTAAGCCAACAAAAACTACTTTCCAGCCAGTCGATAACCTACTTAAATTTCTTTTCAAATATAAGTAGATTTTTATATGTTTTCTTATACGACGTCATTCGGAGGTTATTATAAAAGACCTTTTTCAACAATTTGTACAAATTTAAATATTTTCTCATTCAAAATTTTCAATTCCAAAATTCGTTTGACACTTCATTGGCCCAGCAGCTGCGTCGATGCGTCTATATTCTTCTACCATGGATTTGATGTATTACCGGGTCACATGAAGACCGTGAGGAATAGCCGACTTTTCAATATTGACGACGTTAAAAAAATAAAGCTGCAGCCCTGTGATAAAATAACGCCGTTCACCGAATTCACAACCTGGCCAAGAATAAAAATAATTATAAAACAAATAACATAAAAACCCAAAAAAGTAAAGAATATGAACGTTGAAACTACTAGTTCTATAAATACGTTTGATCCTAAGGATCCACATGGATTAGGTATGTTGCCAACGCTTACTTGTCCCAAAAATGTTATTGAAAAATGTGTCTTTTCAGGTGACCCCAATGACAAGTCTCTGCGCAAGGTGGAAGTGGAGATTCTTATACCCAAGATTATGAGAGATCGGGCAAAGGAAATACATTGCACCAAAGAAGTAGCAGATTTTCAAGCATGTTGTAAAGACAGTGGAGTACTGATGGTCGTATCCTGTCGTAAGGAGAACTCACATTTAAAGGAATGTCTCAGCAAGTGGTATAAAAATGAGGCTTTTAAAGAAGAATGCAAACAAATTTATCTTAAAGAAAGGTCGGAATTTCGCAGCACCGGTATTCCGAAAAAGCACAGAGTGGAAAAGGTTTAGTTTTTTAAACATTGAAGCATTTATTATATTTTTCGTTGGGTTTGTACATAAGATGTGTAATTAAAGCGCTTTATAATAGTTTCTGTTACATTCAATTTGGCTATGTCTTCAAGGATTTGCATTTGAAAATCTCTAGGTTTGTCAATATCCAGTATAAGGACATCTTTATCGGATGTTTCAGCAATTCTCTGTAAACCTTTTATTTTCTTTGGTTCCAAATGAGTTGTGCTGGAAGGCACTTTAACATTAACTACAAAACTTGCATGAAAAAACCGGGGACCTTTGCGATATATCACTGAAAATTGTTAAAAGTTAATTATTAACAAAATGTTATGGCATAAAAATGATGAACAAGTATTATAAACCTACAAAAGTTTCCGGCAAATTTCAGTCCACTCTTTACTACCCATCCTTTGGATTTTAAATATAAGTAGGCAGCAACATACTCCACAAAATAAGGATTTACTTGCAAAGCAGATGCCAAAAAATCTTGCCAAGTCAATTCTTTGTTGTCCAAATCGACGATTTTCAGAACTCTTAAATAATAGGCCAAGAAAAATGACTCTTCTAAACCTAAGGACAGCGTCTCCTGTTCTTCCAAATCTATTTCTGATGGATTTTTATATACCACATTTGGAATGCTACGTGACTGAGATCCTTTACCATAAAATCCATTCGTGTACAAGAATCTAATATCGTTGGCGTTGCAAACTTCTACAGATATGCTCGTAAAAATTCCGGTATATCTTTCTTGTCCTTCATTAGTACAGGGTGGAGGAAACGGGAGTACATCGAAGACAACACCTCTCTTATTCTTCAGATGTGGCACAAAAAACATTTCCTGAGCTAAGCACAGTTACTATTTTGAACCTGTGTTTTTAGATATATGGATTAAAATAATTCAATGTGCCGCCTGTAAGCAAATCAGCAAATCTAACAAATCTAAAGCAACGCAATTTATCTTATTTGTTGTTTCCAAAATGAAAACAAAAAACATGTGTTTATTGAAGCTAGCATGGTAGAAGAATACAGGTAGATGCATCAGCGCTTGGGAACATTTTAAAATAAAAGTATACTTACTTTTCTTATACGACGTCAATCGAAAATTATTAAAATATGCGTTTTCAATAATTTTTACAAATTTGAATAATTTTTCAATTACAAAATTACTTTGACAGTTCATTGTGCCGTCACCTGTGTCGTTGCGTCACCGATGGTAGAAGAATATAGGTAGTCGCATCGACACAGCTGTTGGGATAATGAACTGTAAAACCAATTTTGAAAGAAAAAAAATTGAAGTTTGAAAATGATTCAGAACTGCATAACAACCTTCGATTGGCATGGTAGTAGAAAACATATGAAAATCTACTTATTTAGAAAAAAAAAAAAAACATTTAAAATTCTTTAACATATCAATGTTCTCAAGCGTTGATGTATCTACCTGTATTTTTTTACCACGCGTCTACCTATATTTTTCTGCCGTTGAAGCATGGTACAATAAGGAGGTTTCGTAAAACCATATAAATACAGCCCTGAAGCTATGCTTGCTCTCTGTCAGAATAATCCAAATTATATCCAACAAGTTGTTTTCATTTATTCGATATTTTTTGTTCGTTTTTAAAATGAGTCAAATAGTTCGAAAGATGAATTAAATGCCTGGATATTCTCTCAAAAATATGATGCTAAGTTTTCAATCTTTCAATTTCGTGGCAAATCTGGTTAATATCATTAGTGTGCGCCCGGCAATTTAAGCTTCTTCCATTCATTGATTTTGAAAATATTTCATTTATTTATTTATATGTTGCGATGAAAAGCCATTAGGCCAATAAGTATCACAACTATTAAAAAACTACAAAAGTGTACTCCAAAATAAAAAAAAAATATTACATAGTGTATCTTAAAGTAACCTTAGAAATCATACTTATGTAAAATATGGACAAAAAGGCTCCCCAGCCAATGAAAATGTATTTAAGTCTATTGCTGGTAATAAAAAAACAACATTGAATCAAACGATACAGTATCATCATATATCATTAACAAACAAATTGTTAACCTCCATTTGCCTCTACAAAGTTTTCAAACATGCGGCGAAAAACACCGCGGGAAAACGAGAATTGTCGTAGCTCAGCTGGAAGCTGATTCCAGATTCGTGCGGAACGAACTATGAAAGATCTTTCATATAGAGACGTAGAAAAATGAGGGAAAATTATTTGCGTATTCCTAGTAGACCGAGAGAACACTAGCCGATCTCGCTGAAAACCGGGAAGATTTAAACAGATACATTTATATAGAAATGAAACCACGCGTTGTTCAACAAAAGTAGAGAATGACACTCCTAGAAAGGGGACTGCATGCGCAGAAATATGGTCAAAACGACGCAAATTATAAACATATCTTACAATGATGCTAAAAAGTTTTTCTAATTTCATTAAGTACTCATGTGTTGTACCAGAAATCACTTCAATACAGTAGGAAATTACCGAAAATAACATAGAATGAGCAAAATTTCTCTTTACAAATAAGGGCAAATAGAAATCAGTTGGGTGTAATTTTCGGCGCATATTTATAACTTTGGGGTACAGTGCATCAATATGCAAAGAAAAATCAAGCTTGGCATCAAGAACAACACCTAAACAATTTATGCGGTCAACAAAATCCACTGCTACACCATTAACCTGTATATTAATAAAGCTATTCAGTCGGCAAGGTGAACCAAATGTCATTGCTTTTGTCTCAGAAATATTTTGTTTTTATTTTTCAAAACAATAAATACATACTCAAAATTGGCATAAGTCGAGCACACTTAGAAAAAATTGTAATCAGCTGATAGCTCTACCATACCTTTTTATGGTTCCATGCGTAGAAGCAAGCATGGTACAATAAGGAGGTAAAACAGCTTTGTAAAACTACAGGAATACAACCCGGAGGCTATGCCCGCTTCCTGTCAGACTTATTCAAATTAATATATACAACAAGATCTTTTCATTTTTTCATATTTTTCCTACCCTACCTTTTTATTATACCATGCAAGCAAGTAAAAAATCTTGGTGGTACACACTGTTGATCATGGTAGAAGAATATAGGTAGACGCATCGACACAGCTGCTTGGACAGTGAACTGTCAAACCAAATTTGCAATTGAAAGAGTGTTTACATCTAGTGGATATCATCTGTCAATTCCGTTGCGAGAAATCTGAAAATCTGTGAGTATTATATTGGAGATAACACGCGAAATAAGAATGTTTTTTTCGGTTTCTTTCACAATCTAGAATAGTGGGACAACACAGTTTTAACCCAAAATTGTGTAATGTTTTGCCCATAAACGTCGAATATATGCATTTATTTTGCAGAAAAAGGGCACCAAAAGAAAAAAATGTTTTTCTGTAATTGTGCCATGGGTAACAACAAGTGTTGTTGTACAACAAACTTAGCAACAACCACATACAATTTTTTTTACGTGATACAAGTGTCAACATTTAAGAGGCTTGCGAAAAAGTTCTCATATATTTGTGAAATATAATCCTATAATTTTCTTAAATGTTTCATGCATGGTAGAATTAATCATATGTTTGCAATTTTTTCAAAATTATTCATTTAATCCATTGCAAATACACAAATGGCAACCTATTGTTTATGCAATGAAATTTGACAAGGTAAATTACAGAAAATGCAGAGATTGGTATGCTTATTTGAAATTACTTAATCTTCTTAGTTTTACTATGTTTTCATCTTTGTTAATACATTGAAGCATAATCTTTTTTGTGTCAATTTACTCCTTTGTTCATTTCTGAAGAAGCCAGCCGATGACTTAAGCCAGCCAAATAAGCTCTTTATGAATTCCTACCTTATGCCATCGGCTGGCTTCTTCGGGAAAGAACAAAGTAGCGTAGAGCCAAAATCGAACTAAGCCAACCTAAAACTTCTTTGTTCCTCTACGAAGAAGCCAGCCGATGACTTAACCGTTTTTTATATTCTCACCTTTATAATTGGGCCATGGTATCGAAAAATCTATTTCCTTGCATGCTTAGCCGTAGGTCCAACTGACATTTTACAACATTCTATACGTTACTTGTTTCACTAATATTAGTGCCTGTTAAAGTGACAGTTAAAAGTAATTGTTATTGGTTAACCTGTACCCGAAATACTCATTACTTTAACATCACAAGTCACAAGACCTTCTGTCAGCTGAATTCAGAGTAAAATTTTTGTCTACTGCTATTTTCCAACGGAATTGGTAAAAATTTATTGAATTTTTTAGGAAAAAATAACAACAAAGAAAGCAGTAGCCATGTCTGACGTTGCCGATTTAATGAAAATGCCCGAAGAGAGCATTGGTAAGTTGAAAATTATACGGTTTCAAGAAAAGTCGATAATGATGACATTTATTTTTTACGAAATGTGAAAAAGTATATACATCATTATTGCCATGGTGTATATGATAGTTAATTACGTCTTTGTTCTCGCTTTCAGATATGATTGCTGCAACATCTGTGTTGCAGCAACAGGCAGCCGATATCCGTACCAAAACCATCAACTGGGCATCCTACATGCAATCGCAGATGATTTCCCAAGAAGATTACCAATGCATTAGTGCTCTGGATAACTCAAAGGCTGCCTACTTGCAATCGAATCCAGCCCAAGCTGTAAAGACTTTGTTGAATCTTTTGTCTCATGTCTCCAAAGATTCAACCATTCAATATATTATGGTTATGATTGACGATCTATTGCAAGAAGATCGTTCCCGTGTTGATATTTTCCACGAATATTGTGCTAAGCGCAAAGAATGTGTTTGGGGACCTTTCTTGAATCTGTTGAATCGTCAAGATGGTTTCATTGTTAATATGTCTTCTCGTATTTTGGCTAAATTGGCATGCTGGGGACACGAAATGATGCCCAAGTCTGATTTGAACTTCTATTTGCAATTCCTTAAAGATCAATTGACAGTCCAGGTGAGCAATTTTTTTCGTTATTCTTGTATATGATGGTGTTATTACTTTAGAAAGATGTTATGGGAGTTTTTGTGACAGCAATGCCTTATATTTTGACACATGATTAGTTGTGACCTTTTTGCGTACACATTGTTGTTGTGTTCAAAAATATTTTGTTTTAACTAATTGTGCTATTTAAAGAGGTTGAAAATCGATTAGAGATAAAAGAATACCTATTGTTTACACAAATACTGTATAAGGGCATTTTATCACATTCACGAAAGATATTTCGAAAAACTTGACAAATATTCGCTTAGTTTGACGAAAAACTATTAATGTTTCGATTTAGATTAGACTTGTTTTGCTCCATTCTTGTATGAAATGGCTCCCGAAATTCAATATTGCACAGTTTTTTCCGCGCCCCTTAGAATGGATAATACTTCTAAAAAATTCTTGAAATTGGATTTACCATCAGCATAAGTTGAATATAAACTTATAATTTTTTCTTTTTATTCCCTATCCTGCAATATGTCCCACAACCATCAACTTAACCTTTATTAAAAATGAAACATAAGTGCAAAATCTATATCAGTGAGATGACTGCCCTGTCCAAAAGAATACAAACCATAATTATACATTCTAATGGAAATGATAAGGGAAGCTCAAATCATCTTGATCTGGTTCAATTTTTGAAATATCGTGAACAAGCTGCAGAGGCGGGCAAAACGGTAGTGGGCTTTTATGCAATTCAAACAATAACTTGCAATAACACACAACATTATTAAACATACTAATTGCCTAACATTTAAAACATAACACTTTTTTACACTTTACTGTTATACATTCAAAATTTAAAAGCCTTTGGCCGGCCTTAAACAAAAACTATATGTCCCTACGTTAACGTCGTTGTCTGTTCAAATCATCCTGCGAAATATCCAGTTTCATTATATGAATGTCGCATTGTTTTGTTTTCGTTAATTTTGTTCTTGTTGCTGATGTTTATGTGGACCCATCTTTTACATTTTGAAATAGAAATCAAAATTGCAGTCATTTTTGGGAATTCTTTAAATTACTACAATGGCAATTTGGTCCTTTGGCCCGTTGCCATACAAGTTTTGCGTTCTATTTTGCAAAAACAAATAACACCAACTAACAAATTTCAATATTGAATGCAATTTCTAATATACTTTCTATTTATTCTCCAATAATAGTCCAATGAGTATATTCAATCTGTGGCACGCTGTCTGCAAATGATGTTGCGTATTGACGAATACCGTTTCGCTTTTGTTGGTGTTGATGGTATCAGTACTTTGGTACGCATTTTGTCATCTCGTGTTAATTTCCAAGTAAGTAAGCAGCATTGGTATAAATTTCGTATATCACTAGTATTTATCCCTATTATAGGTACAATACCAACTGGTGTTCTGTTTGTGGGTCTTGACCTTCAATCCCTTGCTGGCCACCAAAATGAACAAATTCACTGTCATCCCAATTTTGGCTGATATTCTCAATGATTGCGCCAAGGAAAAGGTAAAACTTTGAAACACCAATTGTAAATCGTGTACAATTTTTTATCGACATTTCTTGTCAAAAGGTTACCCGCATCATTCTGGGCGTATTCCGTAACTTAATTGAAAAGCCCACTGATGCTCAAGTGGCCAAGGAACATTGCATTGCCATGGTTCAATGCAAAGTCTTGAAACAATTGTCCATTTTGGAACAACGTCGTTTCGACGATGAGGACATCTCTGCCGATGTCGAATTCTTGACTGAAAAATTGCAAAACTCTGTGCAAGATTTGTCTTCGTTCGACGAATACGCCACCGAATTGCGCAGTGCCCGTTTGGAATGGTCTCCCGTACACAAATCTGCCAAATTCTGGCGTGAAAATGCTCAACGTTTGAATGAAAAGAATTACGAATTGTTGCGCATTTTGGTACATCTTTTGGAAACCTCCAAGGATCCCATTATTTTGTCTGTTGCCTGCTATGATATTGGAGAATATGTTCGCCATTACCCCAGAGGAAAGCAGTAAGTTATGCGAAAATATAAATTTAATAGAAATTATATAAAACAATTTTGCTGTTCGCCTTCTAGCGTTTTGGAACAATTGGGTGGCAAACAAATTGTCATGCAATTGTTGGGTCATGAAGATCCCAATGTACGTTATGAAGCCTTGTTGGCTGTACAAAAATTAATGGTTCACAATTGGTAAGAAGTGAATATCTAATTATTTTCACAACATGTAAAATTAACTTTTATGTTAATTTCCTTTTCCAGGGAATATTTGGGCAAACAACTTGAAAAAGAAAATGAAACCCAAAAGCAAGGATCGGCTGCCATTAGCGGCAAGGCTTAAGTATTATCACGTCTTATTTAAATTCCCTATTAATATATAAACAGATTAGAGTGTTATTAAACTATAAGTAAAGAAATGTATTAACAACAATTTCGCGGTACTTATAAAATTGTATTATGGGAAATTAAACAATGTGTGTTTCCTCTGATAATAATAATAATACATTCAAACGAACGATCGCTTCTTTGATCTAAATTTATTGTCATAGAAATTTTGTTTCAAATCATTCCAAATTATATTATTATTATTTTTCCTCTGTTTCCCAATTTTCTGTTATTCGTCAAAATAGTTACCTTTTTCGTGATGAATGTATGTGTTGTTGCTTATGTTTGTAAATATCTACATAATAGATGAATAAAACAAGCTTGTTAAAAATACATATTTCTATTGTTTTGTTTTGGTATTCTTAAAATATGACATTTTTGAACAACTTTCATTGTCCATGAACAACTTTCATGTCAATATAATCGTGGAAAGGAATTGATAACTGAATGGATTCATATGAATGTGAAATCGGTTGATTAGTAGATCCCGAAGCTCTAAGAACAGATCATACAAATGAAAAAGAGAAAATTTGCAAAACTGGAAGATTCTTGCAGGTTCGGGAACAGAACAAGTGCATGCAAGTTTTATGTGAAGTGCTCATAATTTTTTTTATTCCAGAACCTGCAAGAATCAATTTTATTTTTGCAATCTCGTTAGATAGCGGTTATCGCTTAGATTCTTCCAGGTTTTATAAATTAGCAAGTGCGTACAATTCTGGAACAGAGCAATTAACAATTCACGTTTCCAAAAGGTAGATAGTCTTTCAGTCTTAAGTAAGGGATGTTGTTAAGAAGTATGGGATCTCCATTTTTCTCACTTCTCTTACCAACAAAATGAAACTTAAACTATTTTATAATAGAACAATTATACTGAAATAAATGGGAACTCAAATTTTTCAGAATTCATTCAGATTAATAAAAAAATATACAAGCAGGCGATGAGTTAGTTGGATAAATATGTTATTCTATTATTTAAAAAAACGGGACTCATGAATTTTAATGAAAAATTATCAGAAGAAAATCAGGCATCTGTATTTTTAACAAATGCATAGAATTTCTTCAAATTTATATAATTATAAAAGAAAACGATGTTTTAATTGAATTCTGTATGAATAATATTAAATTTATTTCATCTTATTTAAATCTTAAATTTATTTCATACAGGATTCAAAAACAATGGTCTAAGAATCAGGCCAGGTTAAGAAGACTAGTTCACATACTACATTTTAGTGAATAATGCAAATTATTGAACTGTTCGATCCATTATTAAATAAAAATCGGTGTTTCAGGGAATCATTCAGATCAGCTACCTGTGAATTCCTTCATTTTAGATAATCTTTTTTCTTCCATATTTAAGAGAAATAACTGTTTGCCGAACACGTAAGATTGTCTTTACTTCAACGTTTAAATTGGTGACATATTCATAGCGATCAATTTCCTTAAGGTGTCATTGGTATTCTTGATAAATATGAATTACCTCTTACTTACCCGGGAATCCTTGGATATAGGTTCCATTACAGACTTGGCTTCTTCTGATGCCTGTGGAACTACCTCGTTATTTGTTGGTACCACGCGCAGTTCATTAGGTGGCAAAAAATTACTATCTTTGGAATTTGGAGCATGTGAATCTATGGCCGAAAGGGAAATGGAAAATATATGTGGAGAATTACGATTTCGTTGGTCCGATATATGCAACATAGTAATATATCATCGTATTGGTCTGGTGCCAATAGGTGAGGCTAATGTTGTTATAGCAATTTCGTCAACGCATACAAAATCATCTCTAGACGCTATAGCCGTCGTAATCGATGAACTGAAGAGACGTGTACCAATATGGAGAAAAGAAAAATATGAAGGAGACGAATTTACAATGTGTGTTGAATCTATCGAAGCAGAAACATTCGATGAAAAGTTGTGTGACATACAAGAACATGTTTTGCCTTCGAAATTTGTGCAAATTTCCGCAAGTGAAACGGAAATCAATAGGCGAATACAAAGCTTTATTGAACGCAAACGTGAAGAAATTGATATCAATAACATTGTTGATTATATAAATCCCAATTATACAGCTGAAAATCCCAACGAAGAAACATCGTCATGTGCTCGCATTAGCGGTACTGTAATAAAACAGGAAAATTCCAAATGTCATTTAAAAGTTCGCCAAATAGAAAATAAAATGGGACCACAAGTACTACAGGATTATTTAGAAACATTAGATTCTTTAATGGATTCGAAGCAAAATCAGAAAATCAAACAAGAAAAGAAGGAATCACCAACAAATACGTTGTCAACAAAGCCATTCCAATACGCTCTGCTGGAGAGAACACGAGACATTGAAGAATATTTAAATCTAAACAATGCGGAACAGAAAACTATTCACCAGCGTTTGAAAAATATGGAAGATCGTATATTATTCTTAGAATCCATATCTCCAGAATATTACCATAATCTTTTTGATAAATCACAAAATAAAATTAGTATTAATGAAAACATTTCTGTGAGTTCCACGGATATGTATAATACAACAAATGGTTCTTCTATAAAACCCACATCAGCCAATGCCAAGAAAGTCTGTCGTAAAGTATATGCTGTGGAAGATATAGATCGTATAATTGAAGCTGAGTCACAGCATATTTAGATAAAATTATAATGATATTTTATATAATGTTGTAAAATAGTTATTTATCTTGTTAAGTCTAAATATACGTTCAAATGTAGTAGAACACCTACGTAGTCAAATTCAATCCGATCAAGTAAAGATTGTTCAATTAATTTCAGTACACAAAGTAGTAAAATAAATTATCGTATAATCCGAAAACATGATTATACGAAGTTATAACCATAAAATTTGTTAGGACCGGTATATGACGGAATTCGATTGCTATAGTTTAAGAGCAAATTTGCTCTATGATGGAATTAAGATTATGAGTTAATATTCAACCATTACAACATATGTATGGACAAAAATTAGACTTTGTAGCGAAATAAATAGTTTTGATAACAGTTTTACCTTCTCTTGTTGTACCATGGTAGCATAGCAAGTTTTTAGTAACATTCTGTCGTTTTGGACAGATCCAGAAATTTCGATCACCTTTCGGTCTATATAAAATTTAAATAAATGAGATTAAATTTTTGCATCTAAATTTGGAAATGACACTAAGCGGGCATAGACAAAGGGCTGTAAAGTAGTTTTACAAACCATTTTTACGTATATATTGGACCATGGATAAAACGAATGAAAAAGAGAATTGCTTTGCTCAGAAAGTACGGAACTGAAATACTAATAAAAATCTCAAAATTAGATGGCAATCCTTTAAAATCCAGATAAAAACCAATCAGAAACTACTAGCATAGACAAATAAAGATATAGACAACGAAAAGTTATTTTTGTTTTTTTTTATTCAGGTGCCTCTTATCATGATTTGCATAGTCAATATGCTGATTTACGCGTACATTCCACTCGAAGTCGTTTTTCTAGAATTTTACTTGATTATTCCCTAATTTTCGATGTCATCATGTACTTTTTACATTTTTTTTTATTATAGAACAATTTTCAACTGACAAATATCCTACAGTTTTTGTTATTTTTAAAGTTATAGAATTATTGAGTGACTTCAATATTCTCACTCAAACCCCTAAAACGATATAGACGACATTTGCTGATTCTATTTTTTTATTTTTTTTTTAAGATAAACGGTGCTTTGTATATGCTACGGCGATTTGTCTATGTTACTAGTCTGCTCTAGAATTACAAGAATGTAAAACTTAAAAAAATTGCAAAATTTAACTGGAATTTTTTGTTTTTTTTTTTTTATTTTTACACAAAAATTGCTTTGTTTCAGACCCTGCAAGAAGCTCTTAGTTTTGCATTTTTTGCAGTTCTGGAACACAACAAATATTAATAAGAGTTACAGAAAAGGCAATGAAAATAAAAACAGAAAATTGCTGAATATAATTGCGTTGTAAAAGTGAAAGAGGCAAGTTCAACTGAGAACGATAATCTCGCCTAGTATAAATCAGCACTAATTATAGTAAATTTAAAATAATTGGAATGGTTTATACGCGTTTTTGTCCATGTTACTTTTATATTACCAAGATTTGGCAAGTTAACTTGTTTGTAGAAAAAAATTGAGGGGAATAAAACCACAAAAATTCTGTTTAAGTTTTTATTTTAATCATGTCAGAAAAGACAAAAAAGACCATTTTAAAGCAACTTAAGGAACTAAATGAACGAACAGTCTATATAGATATAGTGCCGATAGTTCCTTTAGATGAATAGTCCATCTGAACAAATTCGTTCCAGAGCAACGCAACTCAAAAGTAGTATTTATTTTTTAACTTTAATGTAAATATAAATGGCACTGGAATCGCCAGCCCAGCCGCCACCTAGATTGGCGGCTCAACATTCAAACGAACAGACACATGTATTTTTCCTTAATACTACGCAACGACAGGTAAAAGCCCTCAACAAGTACATCTGGAGAACAGCTGACATGGAATCCTTTCAATCTATGTGGCGTGTACTTTGTATTTTGAAATTAGGATAAAAAAACCTATATTTGGATTTCCTGACAACAACTAATCCATATGAGCTAGACATTTCTTGTTCTCCTAATATAACTAGCTAGAAAATCCCTACACTAATGATAAAGGATAAATGTGTCACAATTTTAAAGTTGACCTTGATATTTCTTCAATATTAAAAATCGAGATGAACAACACATGAATGACTGGGTATAAAATAAAAAAAAATAGCAGCAAAATTAATCGTGATTCGAATAAATCTACTAAAAACAATTTTTTTATTTTAAGTTTACCAAAATAGAGCCATTTCGATTTTTGATTGGATAGCTTAAAATACTTCTTCAATTTTTAGCACTGCGATATGTTCGAAATTGAAGTATATTTTTTCCAGGTTAATCTGTACTGGATGGATTTCAATGGTTCCCAAGACTTATTTACCACCTTGCCGCCAGGGGCTGGTATAAAAGCAAATACTTTTGTAACACATCCATGGCTATTTCGTGACGCCCGGACTGGTGAACGCATGCATGTGAAGCATCAGGATATATTTTGGCCACAATTGTATCGCGTAAAGAATGCAGGACAATGGCTACCATGCCGAAAGCTAATAGCAATACATCCACCTGTTACACAAAGCCTGCGTACAAGATGTCTATGGCGTTTTTCTGAACTAATTTATGGTAAAAACGACGAATTTTTATTAAGTTTGAATTTACCTCGAACTTTGTATAATGATGTTAAATCGGTATTATCATTAATTGAGAAACACAGGTCTATTGGCATGGGCAGACGAAGAAATAGTTAGCAATATGGGCTCGTAGCCACCATTAAGCCCATTAGGCATATGCACTGAACGACATTGGGAAAACTTCTGGTGGTAATAAAAAACTAATTGATCAAACACTAGATGCCATATGAACCAACAATATCCCATTGCAATCGAGATAACTTCGGTGCACTCAATTTAAAATTTGAATGTGATTTTGAATTAAAAAAACCTTTTTACAATATTCTTTAAAAAATTGTATTTTCTTTATTATAAGTCAATTGCCTGCTTTTATTGGGCATCATCATTATTTTTAGCATTATCATATTTGAATATGTGTGTTTTATTTTTATTATAGCTACAAATTGGATAACAACACTTTCTTCCTTTTAATTCTTTCCATATTTTTTTAATATTTGTGAAATATGTTTTACTTAGTCTGTCGCTTTTAAATAATTTACGTTAATGTTAAGATCTTAAGCATATATGTATGAATCTATGTAATAATTATTTTTAAAATATATAAATGTCGAAAAGTTGTTACAATGTGAGAAAAAGAACAAAAGACAATCCCATTCGCCGCAGAATAACACGATCTGTACAAAGATTTTTTCATAGAAAAGTAGAAAGTTTAAGACTTGTTGAGGAAGAAATGGAATGAGTATTTGTTTTTTTCTTTTTCGCTACACACTAAGTGGGAGAAATAATTGGAATGGCAAACGTTATGTGGTGTGGTATGGTTAAGACATTTCTTTGGGAACGGATTGCCAATTTTTGTTTTTATATTTAAATCTTTGCTTTTTGACAAAAATTGCACTTCCTTAAGCTTTCTAAAATGCTTTTGGAGTAACAAGAAAACAACAAACTAAATAAAACAAATTTTTTTGTGATCATATTAAGAATTTTGGCATGACCTTGTGTTTGTTGTCTCCACAGATTCCATACACTTGTAGTCACGTGCTTGGGTTGGATGTAAGTATGTGAATGACAATGACACGCACATACAAACACGTGTCCCTTATAATTTGTCTTGTGCCTTATTATCAGCTGAAATTTAGAGAATCACATAAACTGTTGCTCCTACCATTGTTTATTCAAAGTTTTCCATCATATGAAAAATTTGGCTTAGTTTTGTACTGGAATGTGAGATCGGTTTGTTGTTGCTTCCAAATAAAGTGTCGAACAGTACGCAAGTCCATGTTTGGATCAACCACCTGAAACCATTAAATAATGAAATTATATTTGGAAAAGGAATGCAGAATAACAAACATACGACATCGTTGCACCATAACTCAATGCGGTCTTCAGCTGGAACCTGAGAACCTTCCGAAATGGCATCGCTGTTTTGTGAAGAACTGGATGCATTGCCGCCGCTAGGTGTGGTTTCGGCTCCCAAAACTTTATCCAGGACATGCTCACACACTTTACGACACTGTATAAATTCATTGGCCACCAAACGATCCTAAAATTATAAATTTTTATTATACAAATCCATTGCTCTTGCTTTGAAAATAGTACCTTCTTCGTTCTTTCCGGCTTGCCCATTGACGGATGGGGAGTTAGGAAGAATGGAATTTTTAAAAATTTCGGAGTGGTTTTTTCTATGACAACATCCGTGACCCATTGTGGTACTGTCTCATGGAGTAATGTGCTTTCACTTTCTCCTGCGGCATCGCGAACAAGTAAACGGCATACAGTTCGTCCCCCAACCTCGCTATAATACAATTTGACATTTTATAAAAGGTCCAAAGGGAGGCCTTGCTAAAAAAAATACCTGAATATAACCGGTGTATGTTTTGGTACTTGGAAAAATCCATTGCCTCTTATATCTTGTTCCATATCATTGGGTGGTAAGCTATGGGGTGGTGTCCAATATTCAAGCAAAGCTTCTAATAGCAATTTACCATAATTTATCTGAAAATAAATAGTATTGTTTTAGCGTAATCCTCTTGTTTTAACAAAGGTTCTTAAACATTTGTTTTAGTAGTTTATGTTTAGATAGTCACTTGATTGGAAACCAGATCGTATCACCATCTCGAAATGGACGGACATTAAATTAATAAAATTCTTTCCGTAAGGCACATCGAAGGATATATGATTCAACACTGGCCATACTCCATCTAAAGGGTATACCTAATCATCGATCAAATCCACATATCCTTCTCTGAGCTGGGTTAGCTAGTATACATCATTTTATACCATTAAAACGTTATTTTAATTCATTCATTACCTTAATTTCTGACTGTGGATCTGAACATTCAGGAAGACCAGCTTCTATTGATACCCAGGCGGCAAAACAATCCACCTCGTCTTGGCCCAAAACAATAGTAGGCATCTATAAAAGGCATACAAATCAGTAATTATTTTTAAACAATATGCGAAATTTTTGGACATACCCCCGTTTTTAAATCAACAGTAAACCAATTGGGAATGTATACTTGTTTGTTGCGCTTCTTGATTTCCTCTTCGAAATCAACTTTTCCTAGCTCCTCTTTCTTAACTACACGTAATGCATCATATATGGCTACATTGTCTTCCGTATCCCGGGTTACAATGTGACGTTTATCATTTAAAACAACACATTTTTTAATGGCAGCACCACCTAAAATCATAATATCAATTGCTATTTTAAATTATTTTAAGAATCGCAGTACTTACCTTTAATACATGCCAATTCGGTTCCTGTTGTCCATTGAGCATCCATGCCACCACTTGAATTTAATGTACACTTATCGTACAATGGCAGTTTCCAGCAACGTATATCTGAGTTCCATGTGGTGGACCATACCCCCGTCTTATCAGTGTTAAAGCATAGACTTAAAACCGGGGCCTTTTCTTCACAAACCACCATTGAATTGCTGGGATTTCTTAACTCAGTTATGACAATATTACGATCTCGACTGCCCGATATAATATATTGGAAGTTATCTGTCATTAATAAACTCCAAACACCCTCTTTGTGGACGTGGATAGTTTGAACACAGCGTTGTTGACCCAAATTCCAGATTTTTATGGTGCCATCTGAACTACCCGACACAACTTGATTGCCATCGGCGGAAACAACCAGGGCCCTTACATTTTCTGTGTGACCACGCAGTTTCATATTTCGTACACATGTGCGTGGATCCCATACTCTTAATATGTTCTCTGTGGAGCCGCTTACTATGACAGTGCCAGCTGGATTCATAGCTAAGCTATATATAGAGTCCTTGCAGCCGTTTAGACTAGATGCTGTGAAGAAATAAAATATTAAATGTTAAATAAAAGAAAATTTATAATGATATTGTGAATACTTACTTGTGACTGTATTATTGCTGGCAGTTAAAGCTGTTAATGTATTGACATCCCACAAAAAGATCGCCTTATCCAAGCCAGCACTGGCAACTTGTTCACGATCTTTTGCATAGGCCAAAGCCTGGACATAATCACGGTGGGTTCTTAGGGTAGACATGCAAAATCCTTTATGAGCATTCCACACTTTCACCGTTGTATCACAGCTAGCACTAATTACTATAAAAACATTCACGGATGCATTATTTCGTCTCATTCTAGGACAGTCAGTAAAATATTTCACTCCACCCTATAACATACTTACAATTACGACCATTGCAGCAGAGCACAATGTCATTAACCCAATCATTATGATGTTCCATGGACTGTATATATTTATCATTTGATTCGGAACGGGAGTTCCATACCCGTATTATAGCATCACGCCCAGCTGAATATAATTTACCATTGTTTGGATCTAATTGCATGGCATTGACACCATTCCGATGTTGTTTCTCCTCAGCATCTCGTATAACATAGGAGACCTAGAAAAGCCCAAAAATACACCATGTAACTAGAATCCTTAGATCCTCATCGCAACCGGCAATTAACCTGCATTTTTTTGCGTCCTCCACAACTTTTATTATGTGTCAACATTATTTATATGACTACTTCTCTACCAGACAAAAAATTACTTGTCCAACAGAGACAGAGAATAAAGTCGGCTGATTAAGGCACAAGGGCACTACTGCTGTATCATCAAGAGTAGCTATTCGATAACAATGCATTCGTAGTAATCTTTCCACTCAGTTCATTCAAGCTATATTCAATTAAAGAGTTTTATTTCGGTATTTTCCGCTTTTCTTTCTGAATTTTTGTTAAAAAATTTTAGATACTAGGAATACGTAAGTCGACTCTTGACTAATCGGTTGATCGGCTTTTAGTTAGACAAACCAGGGACACATAGTTCGATTAAATTAATCGATTTTTCGTATTCGATATATGTAAACCAAACTACCTATCCCTTTTGGAAATTTCAAATGTTAAACGTTTGGCCTGTTCCAGAATTGCAAGAATGTAAACATTTTTAGTGTGATAATCAACTTTTCCTTTTTGATATTGAGAAAAATTGCAAAAATAGTAGATTCTTGCAGGATCTGGAACAGAGATAATGATACATTTTTTACCCCTCACTTAAATTTGTACAAATGTTTATTTATTTTATATTTATAAATATTCAGAACTGCAACTTTTTTCGAAATCGGTTATTACATGGTAGAAGAATACAGGTAGATGCATCAACGCTTGTGAACGCTTGTATGTCAAAAATGTTAAATGTTTTTTTCAAATATAAGTAGATTTTTATATGTTTTCTTATACGACGTCATTCAAACGACGTCATTCAAAGACGTTTCATTGTCCCAGCAGCTGTGTCGATGCGTCTACCTATATTCTTCTACCATGGGTTATCGCAATGAAAATTCTTACATTCTTACATATCTGGAACAGACCAATAGAAAATAAAATGTGGATCGAAGAAATTCAAAGAAATTATTTTACTTCAATGCAGTTATTCTCAAAAATATATTTCGGATCTATTTGAAAAATCTTTTTAATTTTTAATATCTGTTACTATATTTATCACACGATTTGTGTTCAAAAGCTAGATTTTAATAATAATTTTCTGAATTAAAAAATTATATGGAATTCTAACAAATTAATGCTATTTTCCAGAACCTGAAATCACTAGATTTGCAATTTTCTCCAGTATTTTCCTATTATAAAATAGCTGTAAACAGAAACGCACAAAAACGAACGCAATACTTTGAAAAATTGATATCATATGGCATCATAGCTCCACCTTGATTTTACTGTACCATGCGAGGACCCAGATAAAATTCCCATAAATATGGAATGACGTCTCAGGGCTATACATGTCTCTCCTAAATTGGAAACACATATGCACATGAGTATATAAATTCTAGACAATAAGGACCTTGCGAATTTGAATATTGGATTTAGATAATTATAGTCGATTTAAAATGACTCGTCTGAATGGGCTATAAACACAATTGGTAACTCTACCGGTTTAAGAGTTACCATTGTTAACAGTAGACACAGCTGCAAAAAGGTAGGTCCAAGTATTTTTTATACATCTGGCAATGCCATAATACTGTTTATTTTTTTTAAATTTTATTAAGATATCCATTGTTTTTCGATTTGTGAAGAAAAGATTTAAATTTTTGTAGGAGTTTTACCGTAATTGTACTCTATTTATTTGTAATGTGAAATATTTGTTCTCAGGATGTATAAAAGAAAAACGAATCAATTTGTTTGTGACCAATGTATTTCTCGTTTATGTCAATGTTGTATTGGTCTAATTGGTGATAGAAGATATACAATATTTGTCATTGGTAAGCATGACCCACTTTTTATACGCTTAGTGGTGGAGGTACCAGAAGAAGTAGATCTATATATCACGTTTTCACACATTCATAATTATTTCGCCTTATGTGGGAACTATAAATATTGACTCTTTATGGGAGAGGTACCAGGAAGAGCGGGCAGGCGTATGACAAATTCAAGCGAGTTATAATTTTGTGAATTTCGTCCAAAGTGATTTAGGGTCAAACCGTTTTCTCGATGAGACACATTTTGGCTTAACTCTAGTTTAGTAAAAACTCTTCAATTTTTTCGAAAAATTTTTCAGTGGTAGGTATTTTAACCATGATCCTGGGAAACTATTTTTTTCTTGGGGGACGGACCTGGGACCCCAGATTTTTGACCCGAAAGTCCGGGTTCAAGACCCCGACTAGACCCGGATCCACTTACCCGATATAGACAATATGGGTATCGTTGGAAAGCTTATGAAAATACCTATCCAACAAGTGGTCACATGAAGGGGTAAATTGTCATGGTTCGGAAGTTATAGTCAAATTATCGATTTTTTGGACCCGAATTTTTTATGAAACCCCCAAAAGGTCAAAAAAGGGCCCATTATGGGGGTCAACAAAATTGTTTCCAAATTATAGCTGACACTCTTACCTTTCCAAAATGCTACAATTTGTGCTAATACCTTTTTCGGTTCCAGAGATATGGGTCTTTCCATCCGCATAACCCGATTCTAGCCAGTTCATTAAAATGATGTTTTTAATAAAAAAGTGTTTATTTCGCGTAGCAGTCGTCGGAATAACAAAAGTTTTCTAAATTTGGCACTTTTTGTAAATAGCCGGCCTTCGGCCGGGGGACAACAAAATTGATGCCAAATTATAGCTGACACTTCTACCTTTCCAAAAAGGTTCAATTTGTGCTAATACCTTTACTGAGTCCAGAGATATGGGTCTTTCCATCCGCATAACAATAAAAAAAAGGTATATTTTGCGTAAGAATGAAATTCAAAAATCTTTGGTTCGCGTTAGCCGGTGTAGGACATACCCAGAGGAGAAAATCTCAAGCCCCGGCCGAAGGCCGGCTACTTACAAAAGGTATCCAATTTAGAAAACTTTGGTTCGCGTTAGCCGGTGTGGGACATACCCAGAGGAGAAAATCTCAAACTTAGAAAACTTTGGTTCGCGTTAGCCGGTTTAGGACATACCCAGAGGAGAAAATCTCAAGCCCCGGCCGAAGGCCGGCTACTTACAAAAGGTATCCAATTTAGAAAACTTTGGTTCGCGTTAGCCGGTGTGGGACATACCCAGAGGAGAAAATCTCAAGCCCCGGCCGAAGGCCGGCTATTTACAAAAAGTGTCAAATTTAGAAAACTTTGGTTCGCGTTATCCGGTGTAGGACATACCAAGAGGAGAAAATCTCAAGTCCCGGCCGAAGGCCGGCTATTTACAAAAAGTGCCAAATTTAGAAAACTTTTGTTATTCCGACGACTGCTACGCGAAATAAACACTTTTTTATTAAAAACATCATTTTAATGAACTGGCTAGAATCGGGTTATGCGGATGGAAAGACCCATATCTCTGGAACCGAAAAAGGTATTAGCACAAATTGTAGCATTTTGGAAAGGTAAGAGTGTCAGCTATAATTTGGAAACAATTTTGTTGACCCCCATAATGGGCCCTTTTTTGACCTTTTGGGGGTTTCATAAAAAATTCGGGTCCAAAAAATCGATAATTTGACTATAACTTCCGAACCATGACAATTTACCCCTTCATGTGACCACTTGTTGGATAGGTATTTCCATAAGCTTTCAATCGATACCCATATTGTCTATATCGGGTAAGTGGATCCGGATCCAGGCGGGGTCTTGATCCCGGACTTTCGGGTCAAAAATCTGGGGTCCCGGGTCCGTCCCCCAAGAAAAAAAATAGTTTCCCGGGATCAGGGTAAAAATACCTACCTCTGGAAAAAATTTCGAAAAAAATCTAAGAGTTTTTACTAAACTAGAGTTGTTCCCACATTTTTATCCCCTTCACAAACGTAATATGGAGGGTTTGTCATCCGTTTGTAACTCATCGGAATAAGCATTTTAGACCCAACAAAGTAAATATATATATTCTTGATCATCGTAAAATTCTAAGACGATTTAGCCTTGTCCGTCCGCCTATCCGTCTGTTGCAATCACTCTACAGTCAAAACGAATTGAGATAGGTAGCTAACATTTTGCACAGATCTCTCTTTTGTCTGCAGGCAGGTCAAGTTCAAAGATGGGCTATATCGGTCCACGATATCGTATATGCCCCATATAACGATATCCCCGATATTCGGTATTTTGATGATTTTAGCCACATTTTTCAACGGAATTTTCTGAAAATCCACACAAGGAGTTTCTTCTGAGTACTTTACCCCCTGAAAGAGAATTGTCTATATGGGTCCACGAATTCGTATATCCTTCATATAACGGTAGCCCCCGATATTCGGTGTTTTGATAATTTTAGACACATTTTCCATTAGAATGGTCCATTGAAAGAGAATTATCTATATAGGTCCACATTTTTCAACGGAATTGCCTGAAAATCCACACAAGAAGTTCCTTGTGAGTGCTTTACCCCCTGAAAGAGAATTGTCTATATAGGTCCACGAATTCCTAAATTCCCCATATAACGGTAGCCCCCGATATTCGGTATTTTGATGATTTTAGCCACATTTTCCAATAGAATGGTCTGAAAATCCACACAAGCAGTTCATTGTGAGTATTTTAACCATTGAAAGAGAATTATCTATGTAGGTCCCATATAAAGTTCCCCCCGATATTCGGTATTTTGATGATTTTGGTCACATTTTCCAATGGAATTGTCTGAAAATCCAAACAAAGAGTTCCTTGTGAGTACTTCATATCCAGGAAGATAATTATCTATCTAGGTCCACGATATCGTATATCCTCCATATAACGGTATCTCCCGATATTTTGATAATTTTGGCCACATTTTTCAACGAAATAGTCTGGAATTCAACACAAGGAGTTCTTTTTGAGTACTTTACCCACAGACATAGATTTCTCTATATTGGTACACAACATCGTATATCCATCCATATATGGGCATCTTCTGATATTAGGTATTTTAATGCTTTAAACAAAATTTTTAATGGATTTTAGTTTTTTGAAAATTTTCTAATTCGTTCCAAATGGTGGAGGTTATTCAAAGTTCGGCCCTGCTTTTTTTCTTGTTTTATTTCATACCATTCAATGTTTCAGTGTTAAGGGCTTTATATATACTACAAAATAACTTTGGTGATATTTAAAATGTTTTAAAATGGAGAGGCAGATTCATTTTATTATAGTTTATTTTTTGATTCTTCAAATCTGATTTACCTCCTTAATCATTAATCATCATTATTGCATCTGTCTGTTTACTGTCAATGTCTGTTCCGTTCAATTCTTTGGTGGAAAGCTTAGATGTCCCACACGCTATTATTAACTCTCTTTTCTTGAATTGTTGGTCTGCATTCCGATATCGGCTCCATTTTTCGAGATATCCACCTA